CACACACACACAGACAGACAGACAGACAGAGACAGCGGCATCAACTGTCAACAGCTCGTTTGTGGACAAAAAAATGTGGATTATGAGACTATTATATGCAAACAAAATGTTTTTGTTTTTTTTTTGGTCTAGTGCATGAAAACAAGATTTGGATGTGAAAAATAAGCCTGGGTATACTGCAATTCAAAAACAAAACAAAAACATTTAGGTTTTGAAAAAAAAAAAAAAAGGATTCATTGTAAAATTATTTTCATGACAATAAAGCACATTTCCCCCAAAATGTCATCATTATAACACAAAAAAGTCATCTTATTTGCAACATAAATAAATAAATGCTTAATTAATAAGGCAAATTTTATATTTTAAATACAAAGTATTTATATATACATCATATTTTTTGTTGTGCTGATCAGATGGTTTTTTTATATTATTGTTATACAGTAAAAAAATACTATTAAAGCAATAAGATTATAATGACTTAGAATAAGAATAATGAGAATAATGTAAATTATTGGGGGATATTTTATTAATTGCCATAAAATACATTCACAATGAAAAAAAAATAACTTTTTACAGGCTATTTAGATGATTTTATTGAGCTTTTGTGGTGTGGTGTGACCTGGACGTGTTTTCATCAGTTTTACCCATCAGTACAGCAGATGATGAAGACGAGGATGAAGGCTGACCTGCAGATGACGCTTCCTCTGGACTTGCTGTAGCAGGGTTTGATCTGCAGCGCACAGGCCACAGTCTTCCACATCTCCGGCTGGCACCTGCTGATGTCCAGCACAGGGATGTTCATGAAGGGCATCTTGATGGTTCCGTTGGACCAGAGTCTGAAGTCGTTCATGGCGCCCTGGTCTGACTGAACGTTACAGCTGCGAAACAGCTCCGTCGGCCTGAGAACACAAAAACAGCGAGGTGAGACGATGTGTGAGACGCAGACTCACAGAGCAACAGCGCAGACAAAACCTGCAAAACTGCACACAGACTCGACTTTTATTCTCCACAGAAGCAGCAAATGGTGCTCGAAACACTGCAGCCTTTAAAAAAGAATATAAAAATCAGCTCCGTTTCCAATTTACAGCCGACTCGAGTTGCTTTGTGGAATTGCCTTCTTATTGCATCCCAGAAGGCCATTGTTCACTAGCAGCCGCGTCCCGACAAAGCTTTGGGAAGAGGGACTTCCTCAGGAAACCTGAAGCCGAGAGCAGCTTTTAATCTTTCTAATGATCGGCTCTTTTTATAGAGCTCAGTGTGGGACGGTGGAGCTGAGGGTTCTGCGTGTGGTTAGAAGCTGATTCCTGGTCATTTGAAGGTTTGTTTACAGCTTTTTCGTTTGGGTGTGGTGCTGATGGGCTGATCTATGACAGAAAATAAAAGAAAACCTTGACCAAAACGAAAAACTCTCTTTGCTGGGTTTATATAAACTTTCTGTTCATCTGTGAATCCTGAAAAATAAAATGCATCACAGTTTCCACAAAAATATTGGGCAGCACAACTGTTTTCAACATTGATAATAATCAGTAATGTGTTCGTGTATATATATATATATATATTTTTAAATAGCTTCACTCAATCAACCTAAACACACACAACTAAATTTAATGGGTTAAAACAGGTAAAAATGGCTCTTTGAGGTAACAGTTGAATATATATTTGTGTGTGTGTGTGTGTGTGTGTGTGTTCTGTTCATCTGTGAATCCTGAAAAATAAAATGCATCACAGTTTCCACAAAAATATTGGGCAGCACAACTGTTTTCAACATTGATAATAATCAGAAATGTGTTCCGTGTATATATATATATTTAAATAGCTTCACTCAATCAACCTAAACACACACAACTAAATTTAATGGGTTAAAACAGGTAAAAATGGCTCTTTGAGGTAACAGTTGAATATATATTTGTGTGTGTGTGTGTGTGTGTGTGTGATGTGTGTGTGTGTGTGTGTTTGTGTGTATGTGTTCATTTCATTCAGTCATATAAATAAATAAATAACACATCAGTCACCATTAGGGATGAGCTGGTGTGGTCAGGATGAAGTTGTGTGTGGATCTCTCTGTCTGGTTTATTTGTGCTGGTTTACATACTCCACAGGGTGACAAGCAGACCTGCTGTGATGTGCATCAGGGTAAGTATACATCACTCCAGCACACTTGACGCTCCGCTTTCTTCCCTATTTACCTTCAGCGCTCTTTGAAATCTGCAGGATCCAATCAACACCAGGAATCCTTCAGAGAAATCAAAGCCAGCGGCTGTTTGCCTGAGCTCACATCCCGTCAGAGGAGCGGGGGTGCCTTCATCGTCATCATCATCATCATCAGCCAAAGAAAATAAAACTCAGAATACTTCAGACTGAACTGCATTCCTTCCTCAGCCTGCAATCACAGCCACTTTTGAGGAATTTATATAAAATTTTTCAATCAGAACTACTTTTATTTTTATGGCATGTATAACTAAATATTGTAGGTATTATTTTTTATGGACAATATAATATAAGTTATCTATTCTTTAATAACATTCTCAAAACATTAGAACAATTTTTTATTTAAATATCTTTCATGGATTTTTTCCTGAAAAATTGTAGTTGAATGTTCGTCTAACATTTTTTAAATGTTACTACTTGTTCAGAACACTCAAAAGTAACGTTCTCATGATCAAATGGAACATTCCCATGTTTGCTTAACCAAGAATTTTTTTTTTAAAGCATTTACAAACTGGATGTTTTGAACGTTAAGATAACATTCAGAAATAACATTTTCATAACCTAATGGGAACATTAGCAAAACATCCATCATTGTGTTACTATGATTAGGATGACTAAGCTGGGATGTTGATAACATGGTGTTCTAAGATGCTTTTAGTGTTGCAATGGGGTTGCTAGGGAGTTTTGGGTGGTTGCTAGGGTGATTATAGGTCATAAGTGCCCACTCGTGATCTCTAGATACATACTGGCTCCCATCAATAGATGTCTATAGGATTTCTTTTCACTCATATTACTTCCAGCTGAGCAGAAATCGTGTTTCAGAACACTGTGTGTGTGTGTGTGTGTGCGTGTGTGTGTGTGTGTGTGTGTTTTAGCAGCTCTCGTCTGCTTTGATCATGTCTTGAATGCATTAGCAAACCCTGAGCTATGACAAAGGGTCAGTGTGAGTTTAAGTGTCTCAGGTCAACCAAACTCTGTTTACTCAGTATTAAATTATTCTGTTTTTCCAAACATCTGTCAAAATCTCAGCCACCTCTAGCCACCAGCCATAATTGGATTCAAAAGTCATGAAAAACCCTCCAAACCCCCTCGGGAGGTCTGCACATTCACCGTGAGCCTCGTTTGGATGCTCTCACAGGGTCCTGAAGCAATGCCATTTCATCATCTAACGAGGCTTGTTATGACACTTTCACAAACTCTTTGAGGCCCGAATCTCTCTTCAGTCAAACCTTTGAGAGGACTCGTGGGATCGACTATGGCGCAGGGGAACCAGCAGTCCCGTCATAGAGCTCCATGCATGTTTGACCCGAAAACAATGCTGGACTACTTCTGTCATCATAAATCATGCTGTCTACATCTGTAACCCACAGAGAAAATGCACAGGCCAGAGAAACCCAACAATATGCCTCCTGGGTCAGTCCCAGTCCTCGTGTTCAGTTACATAACAGCATCCAAACTTATGAACCTAGTGAACCCGTCTTTATAACAAAAAAGAGTATAACAATACTACAGTTGGCAGTTGAGGATATATGTGAATTAATTATATGCTTATTGTACACAACAGTCCAATAAACGAGAAGTTAAAATTGAGTAACATACATTTTAGACACAACATCAGTTACTCCACAATGAAAAGAGCCATCGAAACACAGCATAGTGGTGTTTTCCTCCTGAATGAATCATCTGTTGAGTAAATGATTCAATGACTCACTTTAGTGTTGGTATTGTTAACTATAACTAAAATTATTTAAAATCATTTTCATTTAATTGAAATAAAGTTGAAATAAAATTTAAAAAATGCTAGTTGAAAAACTTCAATAACTTCAATAAATAAATGTTACCTTGGCAACTAACTGAAATAAAATACTTTTAAGCTGAGCTACTAAAATAAAATAAAACAACAAAAAAAATGTATATGAACTTCACAAAATTACTAAAATTTGTATATATTGAAAATATATAAATAAAAGCTTATTCAAAATGCTAATAAATACTACAGTAGTACATACACAATACTAAAATAACTGACTCATTTGTTTGGTTCCTGAATGAATCCATGTTTTTGAATGAATCAGTTGAATGAATGATTCAAATGACTCACTCATTGCTTACAGTCACTTGTCACCATCTACTGGCTGATCAATGTAACCGACCTAATGCACAGACTGACAGACAGAAGCAGTGGAAAGTCCTGGTGCAGTTAGACTGTAGATCAACACTCTTGGTATCAGATTCGAGGATGGGCACCAACGCTTGTATAAGCAGATTGACAGTAAGAAAGTGTTTCTAACCTGTTGTTGAAGTTGGTGCAGTAGCTGAGGTCTTTGCAGCCTAACTGGCACGGCTCCCTGACGTCGGCCAAGCAGGTGATGAGGTCCATCTCAGCCGGGTTGTATTCACAATGCTGGTCGAACTCCTGCCACGTCTGAGTGCCCCAGTTGGTGCTGATCTCCAAGCACATGTTCCTAACAAACAGTGAGGATACGAACACATTCAGTCTCAGAGCGACGCCGGTAGCCTTCAGACGGCTCAGTGCTGACCTGCAGTGGGATGTGTTGGCCTTAAAGCAGCAGTGCAGTTTGGCGTAGTCCATCTTGGCGATCGGGGGTGATTCGGGGTCACTTATGGTGGGCGGGTGTGCGCTGCCCAAGAAGCACTGCCACAGCGGGTCCTGCGGGAGTGGCTGACTGCCACACTCACTGATCAGACCCTCCATGATCTCCTGCTCGGTGCTCATGGTGCGAAGAATACGCTTACAGGCCGTCTGACAGTGAGCCTCCTCCGCCCGGTCACAGCAGTACAAACCTGAGCACAGACACACGGCATTCTGGGTAAGTGAGTCATTTCCTGAATCACTTCAAACTGTCAGATTCAAAACCTGGCACTGTTCATGTTTTAAAATGTGTAGAAAGCATGATTATGGTTACTCTGTTGAAGTTAATCTACATGGTGGATGCTTCTGAATCTGTTGAGTGAATCATTCAATGACTCACTCTAGGGTTGACTGAAACTAAAATGAATGTTTTTCATTAATTGACATAACGTTTACCTAATATAATAGAAATACTGCCTTGGCAGCTAACTGAATATCCACTGATTATGTTTAACTACATTTGACACTGTTTTAGTTTTTAGTTCATCTATATGGAGGTTGCATGATTTCAGAGCAAATAAATAACTATTGAAATACTGTGATACATTGTATTTTTCAGGATTCACAGATGAATAGAAAGTTCAAAAGAACAGCATTTATTTGAAATAGAAATCTTTTGTCACATTATAAATGTCTTTACTGACACTTTTGATCAATTTAATGCCTCCTTGATGAATAAAAGTATCAATTTCTTTAAAAAAATAAAAAACACTAAGACAGACAGTATTGGCATATATTAGCACTGACCTCATCAAATACTTGTTTATATCAGGGGCGTTTAAAAAAAAAAAGTATTACAAAAATATTAGAAAATAAATATAACAGTTTTTTTTTTCTTTTTCTGATAAAGTAACGTTTATTTAACCAAGAAAACGTGACTGGGACATTACATTTGATTAAAAAAACTGAGGACTTTGTCTCCTCATTTCAGGACAGCGCAGCACTGGTTTATATGTGCATCATGCTACCATTGCTACAAGTGTTACCTTCAAAGTAGCGTTGCTTCATTGTGACAGTCACACATTTAAAAACTTCTACCTCACATTTTTATTCCCGAAACTGAAAATAGTTGAAAGAGAATCATTAGAAACCCATCAGGGTCTTGTGGGCAATATTAGCCCAGAAAGCATCTACTAAAAACAAAGGTTCTTTAATGGCTCTTAGTTCAGCAAAGACTAATAACTGTTTCTGTGCACTGTGAAAAAAATTTTTTTTAGAGTATGTTTTAGAAGAAAATACTGTTTCAGTCTTTTTTACTCGTTTAATTTGATGTGTTACTTGCAATTTCTTTGTGAAATCGGGTGCACGTACTGTCGATGGGGCTCCGGATGGGGTAGGATTTGGTGTAGTTGGCCACACAGCCGATGAGCTGCGGTTAACCGCACATGCCACAGAGCACTGACTCAATCATCATTTCTACATCTGATCAAGCAGCCACTGTTTAATAACGGCTGTCAGATGTGCAGGGAAGTCTGGGAGTTTGTCTGCAGGGCAGCGCTCTACTAATGCACACAAATAAGCGCTTCGTTCTCTCCTGAGCTCAGCGAGTGCAGGTTAAAGGTCGTGACCTTGCCTCCCAGGCACAGAAACAACTCTATCTCATTTCCTTCTCGTCCTCAAACAGGAAAGTCAGTCTCTGAGGACTGAATCACAGAAATGAGGTACAGACGGACTGATAACCAAAGACCTTGTCATGCAGCTTTGCTTACTTTCATTTTTGGTGATACAGCTGTAGAGTGGTTTCTGCAAGAGAGAAATACAATTAGTTAGAATATTGCAATATAGTTCATGAAAGATTCCCCCAAAGTTGCTTGTTTATATCACAAAGAGACATATGCACTTTATTATTATATGTATTATTACTTTACTATTTTTAATTCTTATCATTTAATGCTTTTTAATTATTATTTCATTTGATTATTTCTCACACAAAGCTGCTGTATTGTTTGCACAGTGGAGTAATACTGACTACTTTAATGAAAATTGTATGTGTGTGTGTATGTGTGTGTGTGTGTGTGTGTGTGAGAGAGAGTGTGTGTGTGTGTGTGTGTGTGTGTGTGCACTGTCCCTTTAAGACATGCCATTTTAACTTTAGCTTTTCAAATTTATAATAATTATTTCTGAATTTGTGTACTATGTCTACTACTGTTAAAATGTTTGGGGTCAATTCGATTTTTTTATTTTATTATTTTTTTTAATTCATTTTAAATTAATACTTAAAGACATTAAATGTAAAAACATAAAGGCATTTATAATGTGACAAAAGATTTCTATTTCAAATAAATGCTGTTCTTCTGAACTTTCTGTTCATCTGTGAATCCTGAAAAATAAAAAGTATCACAGTTTCCGCAAAAATATTGTGCAGCACAACTGTTTTCAACATTGATAATAATCAGAAATGTTTGTTGAGCAGCAAATCAGCATATTAGAATGATTTCTGAAGATCATGTGACACTGAAGACTGGAGTAATGATGCTGAAAATACAGCTGCGCATCACAGAAATACATTACAGTTTAACAGAGATTCACATAGAAAACAGCTGTTTTACACTGTAACAGTATTTCACTGTATTTTTGATCAAATAAATACAGCTTTGGTGAGCAGAAGAGACTCTTTCAGAAACTTCTGAATGGTAGTGTGGTAATAGAAATAAGGCACATAAAGGCTGATGCGGTTTTAGTTCTGTATTTCCCTGACAGCAGCTCTGAGCAAAGCAAGCATCAGAAATGTCTATTCTAATGCTGTATAAAAGCTTGGGTCGTCTTCACTGCATTAGAGTCGAGCCGCGCTGAAGTATGCGTACGTTTACACAACAGCTTCTCAGAAAACCAAGGGCACAAGATGAAAGAGCTGAAGTTGTTGTGAGAGCGATCCAAAGCAAACGTTGTGCCGATGGTCTGCGTGTTTGTCTGGATCTCAAGAGCCGTACGGACTACAGTCTGACCGATGGAGAACAGCATCAGAGCTACAGCATTTCTATCGGGGATCATTACTCTTTTATAACACTCAGCCAGCAGAATTACAGATTTATTGCGCTGTAATGTGGCGACAGCATGTCCAGTTAGAGGGAAACTATATTTTTCCATTGCTCAACACTAACGAAACGACCTCATAAAGAGAGGTTTGCGCCTGTGCTAGAAACCAGGCTTTCAATGAATAAACACAAATAAAGCTTGAGTCTCGTTTCAGACTGCAGAGCCGCAAGACAAACAAACAGAGAAGTGTCCAGGACTCTGATGACGGATAGAGACCTCCCAGAGTCTGCCTGCTTTCATCTCAACATCTCAACCGGAGCGAGAGTCTGCATGAAGTCTGTGTGTTAAACCAGATTCACAGCGTTTCTGAAGGAAATGTCACTGGCCCAACGCTACGGGGCTGAGGACGGTTGTCAGGGAATTGTTATGTGGTTGCTAAGGTGTTTGAAGTGTATTTTCCATACTGGCTCAGCACCAGTTCTATGATGTTCTGGTTTAAATCTGACTCAGGTCATCAGTCTAATCCAGTGTTATTAGCGATAGGTCTAACTAAAACTATTCAAACTTGAAATATAGCTGCGATAAAGTAAAACATAATCATTAGATGACAAACAAATTCATTAATAAATGAGATAAAACAGAAAAATAGAAAAGATCATTTAAAATAATAATAAATACTGCAAATAATGCTAAAACCACTGGTGTGATCACTAGACCCTAATTTGGTGTTAAAAATCACGGCTGTTTAAAAATTGCAAAAAAAATTATGCTGTATTATCACCAAATCATGGATCCAAACTTCTTTCAGTTAGCACAGGTTTTGTATTTCTTTAGGAACTGATTGATTGAGCTTAAACCTCAGTTTCTGAGTGAACATTGGCAAAATAATGCTTTTTCACATTTTGAGGTGCATAATGAGGCCTACAATCAATCAGTGGTAATAATGCAGCATAATGAGAGCTTTCTGGTCTTTTTTGACCAAAAACACCACAATTGTAACAAGGCGTGGGAAAAATTCTTTAAAAATTCTAAAATGATAAAATGTTTCTTGTGAAGTTGTTCTACCCTGTGTGAGCAAAGTCAGTGAGCTTTAGTCAATGTGATAATATTAACCAGCATTTTTGGGAAAAATGACCAGAACACAAGCTGAGGTTATTCACGTTGTATTAAAATGCATTATTGGAATGAACTTAATGTGTAATTTCTGAAAGCCTGTTTCTACCTCGAAGAAGGAAAATAAAAGTATTTGTGACTCTCACAATCTCACATCTTCGTAATTGCGACAATCTCTCACAATCTGCATTTCTCGCCGTCGTGACTTTCCATTTCACCCAAAAAAACAGTAACGGTTATTCTCATAATTACCACAATTACCTATTTTGACTCTGAGGTGGAAACAGGCTTCCAACACGTCGACATTTGTAAAATAAAGGTAAAGCTCCCACCTCTGTGTCTTTCTTGCATACTTTAGTGATGTCATTTTTAGACGATGCCTAAAAACACAAATATAAGAATCACAGTCTGACAGTGACATCTCTACATTCTCTATGTTGTGGCCTAAAAGTATTTAGATTTAGAGCCGGGAGCACATGAGATGCGTGAGGTGGAAAGTCAGATCTGTTTACTGACCTGCTTGCAGTCCCTGCGGCATTCAGCGGAGATGGCCAGCTCACAGCAGCCCAAACCCACCCATCCGTCTGACTTCTTTGATGCCCCTGGAAATGTTCAGAATCACAGTGAGCTTTACAGTGGATCTAATGCAGAAGCATACATGACACACTGATGAGTCTCAAAACAACACGGCATTCATATTGCATGCAGATGTGCTTTGAATGTGGAGAGTTTGGCTTGGGTTCTTTATGAGCTGCAGCTCAACGCTCTGGACGGGGTTTTAATGGCCATGCAAGGTGTAGCTTGACTGATGTGAAGTGTGATATCTGTGCATCTGGGAGGCATTATGTCTTCAGAGACTCTAAATCCTCTCTTGTTCTTTTAAGGCTGGTACAGGTGTGTTCTGCAGACGGCTCTCAACGTCTCCATCTGTGTTCACGTACCCGGCAATGTGTTGTTGATGCAGATCCAAAGTTCACTCTGCGAAGCGAAAAGGAGATGTTTAGCACGACAACAACTCAGAACACATCATCTACTCGCTCTCATGTGCTTCCAAACCTGAGGATTCTTCTTTGAAGAGCAGAAGAAGTTAT